GTGTTACCTTGAGAGAGGGGAAGATCGGTAAAGAAATCAATACTCAGGTGAGACCATGGTCGTTGTGGAACTGGTAAAGGCTGTAACTTACCCGCTGGGAGGTGCCTAGGTGCCTTATTCTGGGCGCACACCAAGCAGAAGGAGACATACACCCTCACGTCCTTAGACATGGTAGGCCACCAGTACTTTCCGGTCAGGCAGCGCACTGTACGACCGATATCTGGGTGACCAGAGGAGGGTGACGTGTGTGCCCAGAAGATCAGACGGTCACGTATAAGAGCAGGCACGTACTGCAGCCCAGCTGGACACTGAGTTGGAGATGGCTCTGTGTGTATAGCCTGCTCTATATCCGTGTCCATCGCCCATACTACCGGCGCCACAATGCAGGAGGCTGGGAGTATGGGGGTGTTGTCTCTGGGCCTCTCCTCTGTGTCATACAGCCGTGACAATGCATATGCCTTCATGTTCTTCATACCTGAGATGTATGATAGAGTGAAATCAAACCGGGTGAAGAATAGGGCCCACCTGGCCTAGCGAGGGTTCAGCCTCCTCGTTGCCCGGATTTACTCCAGGTTACGGTGGTCCGTCCAGACGTGGAAAGGGTGTTTCGCCCCTTCGAGCCAGTGCCTCCACACGGTCAGGGTCGGACAACAGCCAACAGCTCCCGATCACCAACGTCGCTTGGGTGGCAAGCCTGAGCGTTGAGATAGGACAGCGCCTATCCTTCCCTCGGACGCATCCACCTCCACTACGAGCTGTAGTGATGGATCGGGGTGGGCCAATACCGGGGCTGAGGTGAACAGACCCGTCATGTTACTGAAGCAGACCAGCGTAGCCCGGGACGGCCCACCCTTCAACAGAGATGTAATGGGAGCTACGACCTGGCCAAAGCCCCGGATAAACCTCCGATAGTAGTTGGCAAAGCCAATAAAGCGCTGCACCTCCTTAACCATGGTTGGAGTCGGCCAATTACGCATGGCTGAAATGCGATCTCCCTCCATCTCCACACCTGAGGTGGTAATGCGGTATCCGAGGAAGGAGACGGACTGCTGGAAAAACAGACACTTTTCTGCCTTGGCATTAAGGTCATTTTCAAACAGTCGGGCCAGCACTTTGCGAACCACGGACACATGCTCGGCGTGTGTAGTGGAATACACCAGAATGTAATCGATGTAGACCACTACACCGCGACCAAGCATGTCCCGAAACTCCTCATTCACAAAGGACTGGAAGACGGATGGATCATTCATCAAACCGTAGGGCATCACCATGTATTCGTAATGCCACATGGTTGTCTTCCACTCATCCCCCTCTCGGACACGCACCAGGTTGTACGTACTCCGGAGATCTAATTTGACGAAGAAGCGCACCCCATGCATTGACTCGATCACTGAAGGAATGAGGGGAAGAGGATAACTAAATCGTATTGACTCCTTGTTCAGTGATCGATAATCAATGCAAGGGCGCAGACCGCCGTCTTTCTTCTTCATAAAAAATAAACTTGAGGAGGTGGGCGAAGTGGAGGGACGTATAAACCCCTGGCGCAGGGACTCGGTGACGTATGTTTACATAGCCTCCATTTCAGCTTGTGACAGGGGATACACATGACTCCTGGGAGGCACAGCGTCTAGCAGGAGGTTTATTGCGCAATCCTCCGCCCGATGAGGTGGTAACTTGGTCGCCTGCGTTTTGGAAAACGCGTGCCCCAAATCGGGGGGAATGCGCACGGTGGGGGTACTGTCTGGACTTTCCACCGTGGTTGCACCAATAGAAACACTGAGACACCTACCCTGACACTCTCGCGACCACCCCGTGAGAACCCTCTGCGGCCATGAGAAGGTGGGGTTGTGGAGTGCTAACCAAAGAATACCTAATACCACAGGGAAAGCAGGAGACTCAATAATAAAAGAAGTGACTTTCTCGCAATGAGTCTCGTGGGTAACCATGGTGACTGGTGCTGTAACTTCCCTAACAAACCCGGACCCTCATGGTCGACTGTCTAGTGCTCTGATGGGGAGTGGAATGGATAGGGGAACCAATGAAATGCCTAAACTGTGTAAGAATGCCCTGTCCATAAAGTTCCCAGCTGCGCCTGAATCGACTAGTGCCTTACACTGGAGAACTACAATGTGATCAGGAAAGTGGATGGGTAGGGTACAGTGCGCAGCAGAGGGCTCTGAACAAGTGTGGTTGTTCGATACCTGGGGTGATGCGAGAGTGCCCTGCCTGCCACCTCCAGATCCAAAAGAACGCTGACGACATCGAGCGGTGTAATGTCCCTTCGTGCCACCAGAGTGACACTGGCACTGTCGTCATCCGCTCTCTCGGATTGCCGCTCCATCCAGCTTCATCAGCTCGTATTCCGAGACGGGCGGGGTTGGAATGGGCAGACCCCCTCCAGGACGTCCTCTGGCCGCCAGCAGGTAGTCCAAGCAGATGGCCATGTCCACCAGTTGTGTGAAGGACAAGATGGTGTCCCAGCAGGCTAGCTCCCTTCGGACGTCCTCCCGCAGATGGCGCCGAAAGTGGTCGATGAGGGCCCGCTCGTTCCACCCGGACCCAGCTGCTAGTGTCCGTAACTCCAAGACGAAGTCCTATGCAGTCCTCGTCCCCTGCCTCAGGTGGACCAGCCGCTCGCCCGCCTCTCGACCCTCGGGGGGTGATCGAAGACAGCCCGAAAGAGGCGAGCGAACTCCCTGTAGTTGTCCAACGCGGCACCTCCTTCGTTCCAGACCGTGTTGTCCCACTCCAGGGCTTTCCCCGAGTGGCAGGAGACGAGGACGGACACCTTCTCCCACTTCGATGGGGCCGGGCTGATGCTGGAATAATGGAGCTCTAGTTGGAGGAGGAATCCCTGGCAGAGAGCAGCTGTCCTGTGGAACTCCCGTGGTCGGGATATATGGATCCCTCTGGGTGCTGGTGTGTGGGTGGCTGGATACGGTCGCCCAGCTGGTCTCGACACATCGCTTCTCCCAAGCTGGCTAGCATCATCAAATTTTCCTGGACCCGTGCCACGACTCCAGACCTGCGCTCCTCTCCCGCTGACTCCATAGCGGGTGGGTGATTCTGTGAGAGGTGATTTGAAGGAGTCAGGCGCAGGAGGGTAAATCACAGAATACAGAGTTTATTCCTTAGTACAAAGTTACGCTGGACAGCATCAATCAGTCCAGTGCGGAAAACAGGCACACTGGAACAAAACAGGCACACTGGGAAAATAAACCCTGGCAATACAAAGTACACGTAGCTCAACCCAGCTACTCTTTCCTCACATTCAACAATCACCCACAAGGACAAGGGGGGCAGAGGGAACACTTATACATGTGCTAATGAGGGTATATGAACCAGGTGTGTGTAACAGACAAGACAAAACAAATGGAATGATGAGATATGGAGCGGCAGGGGCTAGAAGGCCAATGATGACGAACGCCGAAGTCTGCCCGAACAAGGAGAGGAGACAGCTTCGGAGGAAGTTGTGACACCTTTGGTGTTGTTAAGAAAATCTGGGTTTGTGGTCTTAAGACCTAAGGTAGAGGAGTACAAGCCCTGGATATTCCAAGAACTAATCATCAATGATCTCATTTCATATACTGTAAGTATATATATACACTACATGACCAAAAGTATGTGGACACGTGCTTGTCGAACATCTCATTCCAAAATCATGGGCATTAATATGGAGTTGTTCCCCCCTTTGCTGCTATAACAGCCTCCACTCTTCTGGGAAGGCTTTCCATTAGATGTTGGAACATTGCTCTGGGGACTTGCTTCCTTTCAGCCACAAGAGCATTAGTGAGGTCGGACTCTGATGTTGGGTGATTAGGCCTGGCTCGCAGTTGGTGTTCCAATTCATCCCAAAGGTATTTGATGGGGTTGAGGTCAGGGCTCTGTGCAGGCCAGTCAAGTTCTTCCACACTGATCTCGACAAACCATTTCTGTATGGACCTCGCTTTGTGCACGGGGGCATTGTCATGCTGAAACAGGAAAGGGTCTTCCCCAAACTGTTACCACAAAGTTTGAAGCACAGAATCATATAGAATGACATTGTACGCTGTAGCTTTAATTTTTTCCCTTCACTGGAACTAAGGGGCCTAGCCCAAACCATGAAAAACAGCCCCAGACCATTATTCCGCCTCCACCAAATTTTACAGTTGGCACTATGCATTGAGTCAGGTAGCGTTCTCCTGGCATCAGCCAAACCCAGATTTGTCCGTCAGACTGCCAGATGGTGAAGCGTGATTCATCACTCCAGCGAACGCGTTTCCACTGCTCCAGAGTCCAATGGCGGTGAGCTTTACACGTCTCCAGATGGAGCTTGGCATTGTGCATGGTGATATTACGCATATAAATAGACAACAAGAAAATGTTAACATATGTGATAAGTGTTGACTATATCTACATGTCATTTCAGAATGTGAAACTCATTTTTCTTTTTGCTTATATAATGTAGGTCCAATACATTGGGTTATGCCTATTCTAGGAGTTTGCACATCAGATTCAGCAGTTGACGCACCTCTCCGATGGCTGAAGGGTCGATATATCTCTTAACGGAGGCTGCCTCTGCATATGTGGGCTTGCAGTGAGGCTGAGGTATGGTCTGGGCTGGGGTACCCTCCCGTGGGCCACTATTTGTCCTACCCCTAGAGTACAGTCCAGTGCTTTGAAGGGTTGGGCTGAGCTAAGCTGTGTCTGGCACTGCTGGGTTGAGCGAGGCTGATTATGACACAGCTGGACTGAGCTGGGTTGGTCCTGGCACTGTTTGGCTGAGCTGGGTTGGTTCTGGCACCGCTGAGCTAAGCTGGTCTGGGTCTAGCGCCACTGGGTTGAGCTGGATCTGGCACCGCCTGGCTGAGCTGGACTGGTTCTGGCACCGCCTGGCTGAGCTGGGCAGTTCTGGCACCGCTGGACTGGGCTGGTTCTGGCACCACTGGGCTGAGCTGGTCTGGGTCTAGCGCCGCTGGGCTCGGACATGTTGGCAGGGGCTTGAGTTGTCTGTGTCTGGCTCAGCTGAGATGAGATTGGCCTCCTCTCTCTCCTTGGATAGCGGGGAGGTGGGGGGTGCTATGTTGCTGGGCTGGTATGATTTTGGAACTCAGGTCCTTGGCAAAGATTCTGACTCCCTCATAGTCCAGGTGTTCATGGTCGTACAAGTGCTCACATGTTAGGGTGTGGTGGTTAGAGATGCTGACATTTGGTAGTGAGGCACTGTCCATTTTTTGGTTGACATTGTGGATCATTTGCCAGGGGAGATCTTTCCTTGGTAGAAGGAAATATCTTCCTTGTTTGTGTTTGTCCTTGGGAACAGGGTTTGTGCTTTCTCTGCCACCTTTCTCACTTCCTCAAGCACACGTTCTCCTTTTGTGTGCAGGTCATTTGTCCCAGTATGTATGATAAGGTTCTCAGGATCTTCCAGCTTGGCTTGATAGAGCAGTCAGCAGAATTTAGTTGTCTGGTGTCTGGGGAATAGTCTCCTATCTTCCAGATACTTATCATTAGAGTCTATCAGAACTGCAGTTTTGGGAGGTCTCCTGGGTTGAACTGGATCCTGTCCCCTCTCCTCTGGAGGTGTGTTCAGCTGAACATGGCCAGACTGCTGGGAGGTTGGCGAGGCAGGGTGGGCTGTGGCAGGCTGGGAGGTTGGCGGGTCAGGGTGGACGCTAAGAGGCTTCTGAGGCAGATGGGGTGAAGGCTGCACTGGGCTCAGGGGTATCTGGGCTTCTACCAGGCTGATGGGGCTACTCTGTTGGTGGCATGGTCAGGGCATCGATGTCCCTCTCTCTCTGCTGCAGCTCCACCTTTACTACACACAGCTCCTCTTGGAGGGCGTCATTGGACTGTGTCATTTGTTCAGTGTTCGGTCTTAACTTCTTTCTTAATTGTTATATTAATGCATGGCTCTCCTCTTGGAAATGACTCAACTCTTCTATCAGCATCTGGACAGTGTCACATTCTTGTTGTTTGCTCTCCCTGAATTCCGTTATCTCCACTTCAAGTAGGGAGAGGCAGTTCTGGATTTGTTTCACCCATAATGTTTTTGGTGTGCACACAGCTGCTACAGGTGAGGGAGGGAGTGATGTACTGTGGGCCTCCTGGTTTGAAGCCCAGGTTTTGGGAGTTGCAGGCGTTGTTAGTGGAGACATGTCAGTTTTTAGTTCCTCATCCACTGGAGGTTTTATCATGTCGAACTCTTCTTCAAACAGCTCTAGACTGACCTCAGAACCTTGGATCATTACTGTTCCGTTATTATACATATTAATATTACATTTTGGGTTTGTGTCCACATACAATTGTCTCATGGTCTTGTTTCCTGACATTTTAAGATGTTTGTTTGCCTTGTGCATGGCTGCATGCCAAGCAAAATCTACCTTGATTTCTTTGTCTTTTTGTTGCATAAAGTCTGCTCTTAGGGTCTCTCGGTGCTCATTTAAAACCTTGTATTTATATTTATTATTCCCTGCTTCAGTGGCAATACCTTCTGCAAATGTGATTGCAAGGTCGCTGAGCTTGGGGCTTGTAAATGTATAAATCTTAGTTGATTACAGCTAGATACAGTAGATGTTACAGCTGATTTGCACTTGGCTAGTTGTAGCTAGGCGTTTTTGATTGTCCTTTTTGTTATTTGTTAGCTAGGTTTTTTATCTAACAGCAGGTAGCCAGTAGCTAGAACCTCTCTTAGCAACTCCCTAGCAATGTGTAAACAACTGTTAGTTTGTTAGCTTGTTAGCTATCCAGTTGAGTTATCAGGATAAAAGTAGTTTTCTGATGTATTCTCTTCTTCTGATTTTATATTCTTATTCCTTCTTCCTTTATCTTTCACTCACTTGTTTTTCTCAAATGTACTCTTCCTCTAAATCATTTGAAATATGATATTTAATACTAGATATTAGGAGCTCATCATTTTACCAGCTGCTCTTGGATCTCTCTCTCTCTCTCTCTCTCTCTCTCTCTCTCTCTCTCTCTCTCTCTCTCTCTCTCTCTCTCTCTCTCTCTCTCTCTCTATTCCTTTATTGTCTGCTCTCTCTAGTTCTTTCCCTCATTTTCTCTCTTCTCTCTTTCTCCCTTGTTCTCTTGGCCTGTTTTACGGGTCGATCCCTTTTTAGATTTCCTCGCTTGGAGTCGACACAATGCGCTCTGATGCCAACATCTGTAAGTGGTTTAGAGGCGAGAGACAGCATGGAAAAACAGCAGAACAGCACTGTACCAAGGTCAGATTATCGTCACATGTTCATCCCAGCTACATAATAAGATCTGAAACAGGATCAGATTCAGACACTGTCTGCAGAGAGGGCTAATGGATAAGAACAGTACCAGGGCCAGATACAAACACAGACACCTCAATGGTCTGTCCAGATAAAGAATAACAACTGTACCTTTGTCAGATACAAACGCAAACAGCTGATAGGGGTCTATCTAGAAAGAAAAATAACTGAACCAGAGTCAGTTCTAAACACAGATAAAAATGCAGAGCGCTGAGAAATAGGTTTGCATAGTCAACTAATAGGAACAATATCTTCTCTAATAAGTATCTAAAAACACAACAGTAGGCCTTAAAAGACATTGTCTGCCACTCAATACCCTCTTCTCTGTGTGTTGTAACACAATAACACATAAATGGGCAGCTGAGAATTAAGGGGGCTTGGGACCCCCTCAGCTGATCTTATTGGGAATTGACCCCAATCGCCTGTAGAGTGTGTGTGTTTGTGTGTTTGTGTGTGTGCGTACGTACGTGTGCGTACATGTGCTTGTGTGAACGTCCTTTGCATGTGTATGACTTGTGTAAGTGTGTGCTTGTGTAGTTTAGACAGATTTAAACAGATTATGTTATTGTAAGGGATTAGGGGAAGTAGATTCATAGAGAGAGAGAGAGAGAGAGAGAGAGAGAGAGAGAGAGAGAGAGCGAGAGAGAAAGAAAGAGAGAGAGATTATTTTATATACACTCAAGGTAGCTAATGAGGGGGATGGAAGAACATGTGTGTGCGTGTGTGTGTGTGTGTGTGTGTGTGTGTGTGTGTGTGTGTGTGTGTGTGTGTGTGTGTGTGTGTGTGTGTGTGAAAGATTTGAGGCAGGAACATGTGTGTGTGATTTGCGGCATAAGCACATACCATTTAATTGACACAATGTCTGTGTCTTCTGATTGGAGGAGAGCTTTCCTCTACAAGGCTGCTTAGCCTACTGTGTGATTGGTTCTACAAACCAACGTAGAAAGATGGATTGAATGAGAGAATAGAGTTGTTGGGGTAACTGCTCATAATAATGTTGAAGGTGATGGCAAAATATGGTTTTAGATAAGGTTTTAGGAAGTGTTTACGTGTCCTTGGTGATGAGACTGACAAGGTGTGCACATTTTTATTCCCAACTAGCTCTCACAAACTCATGTCAGAATTAGACGTTCATCCATGTTTCTCAAACGTCAAATTACAAAGTTGTTCCAAACGTCAAATTTCGAAGTGTTTAAGGTTAAGTTTAAGCATTAAGTCTGAAATCTTAAGGTTACGCATGAACTCTGAATGGTTAAGGTAAGGGTTAAGGTTTGGGATAGGCTTAAAACAAAAATATCAAAAACAACTTTCTATGGCTGGATTTGAACTTGCAACCTTTTGGAATCAGTGGCAGATGCTTACGCCCATCCGCCATCCGCCATCCCCATCGCAAAACCGAAACCTTCTTGAATGTAACAGTGCTCACTGTTGTCCCTAGTGGCCGGTTTCCATGTCAGACATGGATGGATGTCGAATACTGACTTGTATCACAGGTGACCTGGTTGTTTATTCCAGCACCAACACACCTGATTTAAAATTGATAATGTAAAGTTTATTTGTCATGAAGAGAGTGACATAATTTCTCTGTTGTCATGATTAAGTTACTGAATGTAGATTTTGCACTTAATATGGGCTCCTTTCTGTCAACCAGACCAAAATGAGTCTGTACAGCAACAATGTAAATGGATTTTCAGACTAGTTGGAATGGAGGAATAGGAAACCTTCACATATACTCGTCTTTACAATTGACTTTCTCTCCAGTATCTCTCCAGTATATCTAGGCTCATTAAAGCCCTGTTCCATGGAAACTGTGCTGTGAGTTGCTGGGCAGGAGAGAGGAAGGGAAATGACTGTGGTCGGACTGTGGTCTGAGACGGAGATGGAGCGAGAGAGAGACAGACAAAGAGAGAGAGAGAGAGAGAGAGAGAGAGAGAGAGGAGAGAGCAGCCTACGGAGAGAGAGATGGGGGGGTGGGGGGGGGGGGTTCTCATGGGGCAATAATTCAATGTTATTTCAATAAGTGTAGATGGAGAGGAAACAGCCAAAATGTACTGTATACATCACACACACACGCGCAAGCATACATACAGTATGCTCACTCGCATACACGTATGCACACGGACACACACGCACTCTCACACACACACATAAATACACACACACACACACACACACACATAGATATCATACACACACACCTACACAGAATACAGGTTAGGTGTTGTGATTGTGTAATAATATGCTGGGAATGTGCCACTGCACGTTACTTCTCCCTTCACGCGTTGATTGAGGAACACAGAGCCTCTAATTGATGCTAAACAAACTGCTGACCCAGACTCAGGCTGAAGGTCCTGTCACTGCCACTGCCACACACACACGCACACACGCAAACACTCATGCACGCACACACACACACACACACACACACACACACACACACACACACACACACACACACACACACACACACACACACACACACACACACACACACATAGACATCATACACACACACCTACACAGAATGCAAACTTCCACATCTTTAAACCTCTCATACTGTATGTACAACCTACATAAAATGATTACATGTGCCATAACACTCAACATACATACACACAACACACAAACACTTGACAATATTCACAGTGAAATACGTCTTGGGTCCTCTTTGGTAAGATATGAATGCCTGAAAAAGTTGAAAGTAATGCCATCTGGAACCTCCTTGGTGCCCTTGATAAATTGAGGTGTGTGTGTGTATCTGTGTGTGTGTGTGTGTGTAGGGCAACCAGTTGGTGTGTTGTGGGATCTTTAGTTAGGTGAGGTGGCCTGCAGGGGCAAACTTTTTCCACATTCCTTGCCACACACACACACACACACACACACACACACACACACACACACACACACACACAAACAGCCCCTAAAGGAAGCTCCAGGGAGGCACAACAACGCCTTTGTTCCGTGTAGATTTCCCATATCTCCCTGCTCCTCCACACAGATAGATCATCTCAGCACCGCTCTGCTCACTGTATGAAGGACACGCCAGGGAGAGAGGGGAAGATAGAAAGGGGGAGTAAGAAGGGAAGAGACGAACTGTACTGTACAGAGAAAGAGAAAGAGATAAGAGAGGGAGGAAGAAAGGAAGCAAAAGATAAAGGTAGAAAAATATAATAAATGTGATTGGAATGGACTGAGTACCAAGCCCAACTTGCTCTTCTTTCATCCACTCTCTCTCTCTCTCTCTCTCTCTCTCTCTCTCTCTCTCTCTCTCTCTCTCTCTCTCTCTTTCCATCTCTCCATCTCTCTGTCGCCGCAGAGTCTCTCCGTCGAGACAGCAGCACTTTGAAGGTGATCCAGAATCCCTCTGCTGCCGCTGTTCCCACTCTCGCTCTCTCTCCTCCACTCATCACCCCATCCTCCTATCCTCCTCCACCTCTCCCACCCCTTAACCCTCAGGGGCCTGGATCTCGCTCAAGCGAGAGCAGCCACACTCCAAATCCAGGTCCTGGCTCCGTGCTCCTGCCCCAGGCCTCACTGGAGGGAAGAATGCATTGGAGGCCTGGGAAGAGATAGGGAGAGAAAGG